TAACCATTTTGTGACAGATCAGGCAAAAGACACCTCCCTCTACATATGATTTAGTTAGTCTACAAGGTGTAAATCTACTCCACCTTCTGTAGAAAGAGGCATCTTTTGCCTAGTCTGTCACAAGATGGCAGTATTTCAGAGCATTAGTTCCCACTGAACAAGTGCCCAATTCTCAAAGATTATACTATGCTACAAAGCTGGTATTTGTGTTTATTCCATATTATAAATGCTGCTAATTAAAGCCACCCTTCTTTCAACTTGCAAATAACTTTTCCCCAGAGCCATGTTTCTGTCACTGATTTGGGCAAACAGTGCAACTCCTCTCCCTTCCACTGCTTTGCTCCTGCCACTCATGGCTGCCCAGCTGCTTTCTCAATTAACTTGCCTCTACTGAAGTTGAGCACAAATACTTTAAATCCTACACAAAGAGGTGTTACTGCCTGGGTGTGGTTTTAACTTGCCAGACAGACAGGATGGCACAAGAAGGAGAAAGGATAATATCAAACACCAGTAAGGGCAATTTTATAATAGTTTGTGAACCTAATCTACTGGGCAGCATCCCTTCCATAAGAAATGGAGATAAGTCCTTGTACAGGTACTTGGTAGAAGTTAGACTGCATTGATTTGGGGCAAGAAAGGTCACAGATGCAAATATCAGGATGAATATGGATATGCCTTTCACAGCAGCATTGTACATACTTCTGAATAAGTGTTTCAGATAATTGAGTTTTGGACTTCTACGATAATCTGTTTCAAAATAAAAAAAAAAAAAAGGACTTTTCTGGGATAATTTAAGAACCACAAATCATAGAAAATGGTGCCACTATTGATTCAGCTGCACTGAAGGCATATTCCCCTGGTGTTCAGTGATTTTTTTCATGAAGCAATGAAGAAGTGTTGTTCACATCCACCTTGAGGAAGACAACAGCTCTCAACTCCTGCCATATTTCTTCACTCCAAACACTTGGTCTTCTTTCTATAATGCCAATTCCTCTGGGTTGTCTTTTGCTGGTAAACGGACTAAAATCTATTTAGTGTTGCAATCGACTATAAAAAGATTTTGTAGCCGTCAAAAATGGGCTGATTGATAAAATGGGATATTTTCCAGGTATCCAAAAATAAATTCCCAAGGTATCTGAGAAACTAGGACCATTTTGGGGTAACCCTTCTGCTAGGCACTGGACGGCAGTAACAAAGGTACAATGTAGGGGTTTACATGAACTGTCTATTTTGACTGACATCCCACCCAGAAACCAGGAAACTAAATTTTAGCTGGGTGTTCCACAGTGAATGAACTTCCCACTCCCAAGCAATAGGAACTTGTAACAGGGTTTACCAAAGAGGAAAGGGGACAAATACAGCTCTAATGAAAACCACGTGTGTTAAGGATCAGCTGAAACCACAAAGTTAATAGTATCAGTCACCACCAAACAAACTGAGCCCATCCTGCGAGAAGAGACACTCACCCACAACTGCCATCCAGGGGCTCTACCATCTACTCCAGCCAAAGTGACAGCTGATGGCTATGGAGATCTGCACTGGAGTTGGCAATTTGGGATCACTGCTCCTCACTGCCATCTGGAGTTGCCACCACCCCTGGAAATGCTGCTCCTTGCCACCTTCAGAGATCACTGATGCACTGCCACTAGGCATTGCTGTACTCATCACTGGGGATTGCTGCTCCTTGCTGCCAGAAGGGGTCACAGCTGCTGCCTTGCTGAGGATCACTGCTCCTTACCACCTTCAGAAGTCCTCACTCCTTTTCTAGTTGTTTATGCAACCCCAGCTCTGTCAGATCCTGGGCTGCCCAACAGCAGGGACTTCAAATTTCAGAATTAAGGGTGTAACAGGTTTCCATCTGTACCTGTTCTAGGACCTTGCTCCCACAGACACACTCTCTTTCAGGTTTGCTGGCCAACAGCAGTGCCATATAAGATGATCACCCCTACCTGAAGTCTCTCTTGTTCCTTATATGCATTCTTCACTCTGCACCCAAGGACTACCCTACAGCAGACCTTTGCAGTTTACAGTGAGTGCCAACTCCTCAGTGACCTTTACACAACTTCCCCTTGTGCCATTTGTGAACCTATATCCTTCACAGGTTTGGAAGAGAGGGCAGCAGACACCAAGATCTGACCCACCTGGCCCCGGAGCCACAAACAGTAAAGCACAGGCCCAAGTAGCCCCCAACCCTCTGAACATGCATGCTAAAGAGGGTATGGAATATGCAGTTACCATGAGAACGTACCCTACAGAACATGGGTGTCCACTATACAGCCCCTGGGGCTTCTCACAGGGTGAACAACCCACCTCTGTGGGTTGAAGCGGGTGAGCAGGGCTCATCACTGCAGTTGCCAGAGCCATTACATTGGCACAGCTCCAGAACCTGGAAGGTTAACACCTATTGCTCCCCTCCTCCCCCTGACTTAGCCAATGGTGCCTGAAACCCTGATCTTGGATGTGGGTTTCTCAGCTGAAACTGGAAGTAGGGAAAGGGGTAGTGGTGAGTGGTAGTGATGTTAAACCCCGGGCTTCTGGAACTGTGCCATCAAATGAACTACTATCTGGACCAATCAAGACTCCTGGGGATGTCGTGAGGGGAAGCCAGGCCCCAATTCTGCTTCCCAGGAGCAGGGGCATTCACCGGGCAGGCTAGAGAACCTGTTTCAGGCATGCTCGCCTGGGATTCCTCTGGGTGGTCCCCCATTTTGCATGCTGGGGCAGCAGGAAAAACAGCAGCTTGATTAACACATTTCTTTGGAGCTCCAAACCACTGTCTGTATCAGCTGCTGCGGGGGCATGGAGAGAGCAGGCCAAGGAGTGCCCTTTAAAGCAGGAGTAGCTTTGAAGGTAGGCCCTGCAGCCAGAGGCTGCCACAGCGGCCCAGGCCCTGTTTCAGGATATTAGAATCTACCATTCAGAGACCACTTCATATGCTCTGTGCCATGAGTGAGGTCAGAGAGCAAGACATGCAGGCACAGGGCACTAACCATCCACTCCATGCTGAGCAGGATTCACAGCAGCAGCAGCTCTGCTCCCCCTGCCTGGGATGAGCCCAGGACAAGCTCTCAAAACCAAGGTTCTGGTTCCCATTGTCCTCAGAGCAGTGGTTCTCAACCAGGGTGCCATGGCACCTGGGGCACTTTTGAGATCCTTTCAAGGGTGCCATAGGGTACCACGCAAAGTTCATGCTGTAAGGTGTGCAAAACAGGATTCACAAGATGAACAGATTTCACATAGGAATCCAAGCTGTGGTCTTTCTGAGTTCTCTGCAATAGAAGAATCATTCTAGTATTTTTCTGCAGGAAAAAAAAAATATGTAAAAACTAAGCTGGCATTGTCTGAGAGGTGCACCTTGAGACTAACATGGTTGAGAATCACTGCCTTTGAGTCTGAGCTCAAGGGCTGAGGGTTACCACCAGGGGGTATTCATCACAAAGCAGGGGGCAGCCCTCTTCCTTCTCTCCAGGAAAGCCACTTCTCCGGCAACACAAGCCACTGTAATGAGAGCAAGAGGATCATTTCCACAGTAGCTACACTGCCTTCTGCTCTGGGATGCTGAACTCAGAGCAGGGCTGTATCTTGGCTGCATCCCCCTGGCAGAGACAGCTGCACCGTGAGGGCTCCAGCTGCCCTGCCTATCCCATTCTTGTTACTGGGATGGGCTTGGACCAGGCTGCTTAGCGCATGAATAGAGAAGAGGCTTCACCAGGCTTCTGAACTGCTGTGACTCTAGCACCGTGGATCTTGTGCTGCTACTTGGCCCTGGGGTCAGGAAGAGACTTGTAGTTTGTGTTTACTCCATGGTGAAGGAGCAGCTGGGACAAGACTTGGTCTCTTGCTCTGTATACATAAGGGTACACAGAGCCTAGCAGCAGCTGTGGTGCAGGGGTGCAGTCCCACAGCAGGGTCCTGGTCTGGAGAAAGCCTGTGAAAGAGGACTGGCAGTTTGAATGGAAGGCCTGGAGAAACCCCAGGCTCATGAATGAATCCCTGCCTCCCCCACTCAGTCCGCAGTCTAGGCAGAGTCTTCATTATTAACCTGGAGGACTTTGGGCAATGCCTTTTCCTGGCTTAAGGACTAAGTGACCATGAAGGCCCTTACTTGCCATTGTGTGAGGGGAGAACAAGGGCTGTAAGCAGGCTCCAGCTTAGTCAAGGAGCATGGTGCTGGACCCTGTGCAGGTGACAGGCTCTAGGGGCTTTCCACCACATAAGTCATATCTTAAAAAAGGTGTGAAGTTGAATTATTTATTGCACCTGCTCTCGTGCTGATCTGGGTCTTCCCATGCATCTGAGAGGGCAGCAGGCTGACTGCAACATCAACAGGAGCTTTCTACTGGAGAACATCTTATCCAGAGTGATGCTGGTTAGGAGGCAAGGAGACAAAGGGCTGGGAGACTGCTGCTTGCCACAGAACTGCAGCCACCTGCTAAATGCTAACAAAATAATTTTATTCTTGTTTTATCCAAAAATTCAACATTGTGCATATACATTTGAACACAAACACGTTTCCAAAGGTAAAAACTCCACAGAACCCTCTCTAGTGACCAGGAGAGATGCCCTCCCCAGGCAGATCCCAAGAGCCTGTGGCAAGAACATTGTTTAAAACCAGATTTTGAAGGGCATCCACATTCTGAGATCGCAACCAAGCAAGTCTTCCCTCCCCGCCCCCTTTAACAAGCTCTGGGAGAGTTCACATTCTTGGATGCAAAGTGCCCTTTGCCCTGAGACAGGGCAGGAGTTCCCATCTCCATTTCTACATGCTGCAGCTGGAGAACCAGCAGGTTAGAACAGGCAGAAATGATCAGAAGGTGGACCCTCAAATGGTAAAAAAAAACCCCAGAAAGTTCAACCTCAAAGTGCTGATCAGATGTCACCAGGAGACTCTCAGAGACTCCTCAGAGATGTACAAAAATACAGTGAGATGAGGGTATAGAACATGCAACTCCCAGAAAATATATTGGAAGCCCTAGATGAAAAAGTGGTTGGATGGGGTGGGAAGGAGAAAGAAGTCTCCAGGAGGGCTCCCTGCCAAATACTTCTTTTGTGCTCAGCTGTTTGTGCCCAGCTGTAAGGCTGTGGGAGGCAGGAAATCTCTTTTGCATTTGTGCCCGTCCAGTCTGCTTGGGCAATGTAGAGTTCAATGCAGCACTGAACAAACTGGCTCCAGCGAAGCAGGAGCCCCAAGGTGAAGGACCTGGGGAGGGCCATTAGCACCCAGGCAAGTCTCTCTTGACTGTGGAGGAAGTGGTACTTCCTTTGTTCCTACCGAGTACAGTACCTTCTCCTGTGCACTATCCTGAGTCCAGCCTGGAGGTGGGGGGGAAGCAGGGGAGGAAGGGGGGAACCCCCCCCCCAACAAACTACACTCCTGCACTCTCACCCATGTCCACGAGCTGGGGAATTACTCCCCTGTCCCAAGTGTGGTGGTGACCACAGGTACACAGACAAAAGCC